AAAAAAAAAAAAGTAGCCTCCTATTATTTTCATCTCACCAGTTTAATGTAAGTCCTCACATTTTGGCACCTACAGGAGGAATTTGCACAATATCAGACGTTTGGCCATTCCTGCACTTTTCAGGACTGGACATGTGGAAAGAAGTGTTTGCAGGGCCCACAGGGCGATGGTTCTTGCCGGTGAGGCCTGGATTGGCTTTATCTCACTAGCAGCAAATGGAGGACTCGGATGGTAGGAGGTAGGGAGGGAAGAACAGGACAAAGGTCCCGCTAGGTTCTGGGCTGAGGAGAAGTCCTGGGCCAGCAGGAGAACAGGATCATTGATTTTTTTTTCTAGCTGTTTGATCAACTAATTATGATCAAAATGAGATTTAAAAAAAAAAACTATTATAAGTCTTAAATGTCTATAGCTAGAGATACAAATATTTGTATGTTTTTGTAGCTAATCAAAATTATGAACAGAAAGCAGAATACACTGAAAGTTTCTGACCGTGAGAAAATTGTCTATTTTTTAATAGTTATTGCTTAAGGGCTCCTGATTTCTAGGAATGTCTGCTTGGGGGGTTAGGATTTTTCCAGCAGTTAGCAGACTGGTTGATATAAAGAAATTCTAATGTGTAAAGATCTGCAGCTCACATAAATCTTTACTGAAATGCAACAGGAAAACTTGATACATAGGAGTGTTTTGTGTCTCAGATATTAATTTACAGCTGCATTTTATAGCCCTAGTAATGTAGGAGAAAATTGGGGTCAGGTTGGAAAATAAGATGGGAGAGAGTCAAGGCAGTAATAGGAAATGAATAGCAGTTCCTCTGTATAAGTGGAACCTCCATTTGAGCAGCCAAAAAGAAGTGTGTGAAGTGTGTATTTCTACATACAACAAAAGTAGACTTTTCAACCTTCTGTGATCACACCATTAGTAGAGAAATTGAGGATGTTAAATCACCAAACATCCCCAAAGGCACAATTTTTTGTATTCTCCTGATTTTTCATCTCTTGAAGCTGGTGTTACTACCCTTATTGAAAGCTGTTGAGAACAACTCACTGGAAAAAACAAGAGCGCCCAATTAGAGAATTGTTTCCAAAAAGTATGGCAAGGTGTTATGAAAAAAAGTTTCATTCACATGTCGTAACGGTTATAACAAGCACAACCACGATGTCTGGAAAATACAGATGTTACTTCCAGCAGCAGCATATAATCTGCTGCATTACACAGGTGTATTTTTTTTAAATATCCTGCCTTCCTCGTTTAAGTAGCTGAGGACCATATTTTCATGCGTTAAACTCTGCTAAGCTTTCATTTACAGCTAACTGGAGCTTAGGGTGTTGGCCACCTCAGAAAATGAAATACCAGGGTCCAGATTCACAAAAGCACTTGGGTGCCAGAAGTGGGACAAAGCAGGATTTAGGTGTCTATGGCCACATCTGCGTGAGACGCTGACTGCGCAGTTGTTACTTGCATACCCAAGTACTAAATGATGGCGCAGTAATCGATGTTACTTCTCAATAGCATCCCCGCATGGCTTCTTGGTGACGCTGACTGCACAGTGCTCATTACTACTGCGCAATAGCGTCCCATCACAGTTTGTGCCACGCGACGCCACTGTGCAGTAAGCATCTCGTGTAGACACGGCCTGAATCCAAAAGTCCTGAATTCCTCAGGCCCGTGGGTTCCCAAGCACATCAAGTTCCGCTTCTTTGCGTGTCCAGACCTGCTGCCACGTTGTCAGGGTGAGCAGCATGGCCCTAGCTTGCATGTAAGTTCAGTTGTGATTCACAAACTCAGCATTCTTCTGCCAAGTCCAATGATGATCCTGATCCACTGGGTATGCGCTGGGCATGTATGCCCATTTGGCCTACACACCCATGGGAATGAACATGTGTATAAGACAACAGCTATGGATACAACACAATATTTAATGGGTAGGCCACTCACCTCGCATGCAGGAAACCTGGGTTCAGTACCCAGGGGATGAGTAAATGTGACTCCCTAGTTCAGTAGCTGGAACACAGCTGAGAGCTCTGTATTTTATCTAATGAATGTATAATATATTATCGAGACAGCCCTTGGAGCAGAAAGCAGGACCCAGATCTCCACTCTCCCAAGTGAATGCGTTTGTCACTGGAATGACTGCACATGATTCCTCACCTCTTTTACTCTTGTTGCACAGGAGGAGAATAAAGATCTTATACGCAGTTCCAGAGGAAAACAATATGGCTCGTCTGAGCAGCTGTCTCAAGCTGACACTCCAGGGAGAAGGCCAGCCTCCAAGACAGATCTGCAACAGGATGCAGATCTTCAAGCACAGACAGGCAGTAAGACAGAGGAACAGGTAGGTGAAGCCAAAAGCTACTCTGAAGAAAATTCAATAAATAGATCAGAAGGCCAGCCAGTCTGATGGTCTGTGTAACACAGGCCTTGCATCAATTCTTGTTTGACCTATGGCATAGTTTAAAAAAAAAGTCTTAATATGAAATGAAGAATCCAGCACAACCATCGGTAAGTTGTTTCAGTGATCAGTTATCCTCACCTTTGCAGAACGTGCATTTTATTTCTGATTTTAAATGGTACACTTTCACCTTCTACTACTGAGTAGATGTGATATCTTTTATTAAACCAACTGAGTAGTTGGAAAATTTCTTAGCAAGCTTTCAGGCGCAGTCACCCTGCTTCAGGCATAGGGAGTCTCTGCTGGTCTGAGACTCCAAGGAATGAGAGAAGCTAAACTGTGGCAGGATCTCAGTGAGAATGTAAATAGGTAGGAATTAGCAAGACAAAAGGTAAAGCAGAGAGGTAAAGAAGTGAGGGGAGGGGGAAGGGAACAGGGGAAAACAAAGCTAAAGGGAGATATTACAGTGATAGAATACAAGGTGGAAAAGAGGATGTCAGTGAAAAGAAAATAGCTGGAGATCAGGAAAACAGGCCTGAGAGAAGCTCAAAGTGTGAGAGGATGTAGTGAACCTATGAATAAGCAGAAAGGAGAATAAAGCAGGGGAGGCGAAGAAAGCAGCGGGTGGGGGGAAAGGCCAGAGGGAAACATCACAGAGATAATACAGGTTAAGAAAGAGGCTCTCAAAGAAGGCGGTGATAGTAGGAAATCAGGGAGACAAAGGGCAGAAAAGTAGGAGAGGGAAGAGAGAAAAAGGTGGGGGAGAAGGAGAATGTAAGAGGTCAGGTCAGGCAGGTAAGTACCTGGTGAATCAGATGTTAGGCAGGTTGTCATGTGTCATAAAACCAGTGTCTATATTGAGTCCATGATTTTTAGTATTCAGTGGGTTTATGAAGTGAAGTCTGTAGGCTTGTCTATGAAAGGTGTTTTGTAAGTTCCCTTTGAGGATTAGAATGAGAGATTGGAGAGGGAGTGATTGTCCTCCGAGAAGTGTGCCCCCACACGTAGTTGGGTGTTCTTGTCTTTGATATATTTTCGGTGTGCGTTCATTCTGGTGCGCAGTTGTTGTTTGGCTTTAGAAATGATGTGAACAGATTGGAGGGAGTCCAGTGGAGGGCAGCAAGCATGGTTAGGAGGCTGGGGAACATGATTTAGGAGAGGCTGAGGGAGCCAGGCTTATTTAGTTCGGGGAAGAGAAGACAGAGAGGGGATTTAATAGCATCCTTCAGCTGTTTGAATCGTGGTTCCGAAGAAGATGGTGCTGGGCTGTTCTCAGTGGTGGCAGATGACAGAACAAGGAGCAATGAGCTCAAGCTACCGCAGGGGAAGTTTAGGTTGGATATTAGGAAACACTTTCTCACTGGGCCGGTAGTAAAACACTGGAACAGGTTACCTAGAGATGTGGTGGAATCTCCATCCTTGGAGATTTTTAAGACCCTGCTAGACAAAGCCTTGGCTGGGATGATATATCTGGGGATAGTCCTGCCTTGAGCTGGGGGTTAGACTAGAAGACCTCCTGAGGTCCCTTCCACTCCAATTTGTCTAGGTCACTCTGAGTCCTAGCCCTACCCTTCAGCCATATTTACTATTCCTCCCATCTTGGTGTCATCCACAAACTTGCTGAGGGTTCACTCCATCCCATCTTCCATATCGTTAATGAAGAGATTGAACAAAACCAGCCCCAGGGGACCAACCCTTGGGGACTCCACTTGATACCAGCTGCCAACTAGACATCAAGCCATTGATTACTACCCGTTGAGCCTGATGATTCAGCCAGTTTTTTATCTATCTTACAGTCCATCCCTTTGGAGAACAGGTCCCAGCGCTGTTTCTCACAGACTGGCTTAAGGATCTATCCTGTTTAACATTTATTAATGATGACATCGGTACTGGAGTTAGATGTGCCCTCATGAAATCGGCAGATGACACTAAACTAGTGTTTGGAGAAGAGGATTATTATACAAAAAAGATTTAGCTAATCCTTGTGATATTAAGCATAGGATATTGAATGAAGTTTAATAGTATAAAGTGTGCAGTCATGCACTTAAGTAACCAATAACAAGGATTTTATTAATAAGTTGGGCATACATGGCCTGGTGACATCTGAGGAAGAGAGTGACCTTGGTGACTGGTTGATCAAAGGATGACCATTAGCTTGCCAGTATGATACAGCTGTGAAAAAGTTTAATGCCATATTAGGATGCATTAAGTAAAGTATATTCAGTATAGACGAGAAGATCCCAGTATCATTGTCCCAAGGCATTTGTGAGACTCCATTTATAATAGTGTATGTCAGAGGTAGGCTGTTATTTGGGCTGGAGGGCCACTTAGGTAGTTTTGATGAGCTGTTGCCGCAGGGGCGGGAAGGTGGGAGCAGGGTTGGGTTAGAAGAAGAGCGCTAGCCAGAGGAGTGACGTCTGAATGGTCTTTCAAGCAAAGTCATGCAAGGGGCAAAAACCCTGCATTAGTTTAAGATTGGACTGGCTAAGTTTATGCAAGGGATGGAAGGCAAAGATGGTGTGTGTGTGCATGTGTGCGCGTGTATGTGCACACACACCTCAGGCTAGCTGCCAGTGGGGCAAGGAAGAATTTTTTTTTTCACCTCATTAATGTTACTGGTTTCTGGGGGCTTTTCTTCCCCCCACGTGCCTCTGTGGCATTAGGATGTTGCCGCAGCTAAGCTAGTACCCCCTTCCCCCGCTGCCAGACTTACCTGCAGGAGCTGCTCTGCAGGCTGCCTGGTGTCCATGTGCGTGTGTACATGTGCACATGCACATGGCACCCCCTGCCTGGCCATCCTCCTCCCACTCCCCCCAGCCCCTGGCAGGCTGCAGCTCTGCCAGCCTGCAAGGGGAAACCCACCATTCCGTACGTTTTTCTCCTTTAAAGGAGAAAATCTGGGCTTCTCTGCTTAAAATGAGAAAATCCAGGTTTTACCACATTTTTCCGTGACAAATGGGAAACCCAGATGAGTACCTGTGAATGTAGAGGCTGGACAGGCCCCTTTGAGGCCTGTGTTTTCAGTCGCACTGAACCATCCAAATGGTTTAGTCTGGCAGGCTGGGGCTGCTGGCAGTCATCTCTTTGGTTGGGGGTTGCATTTATCTTTGAATTCTGCCAGTGTTTGTTGGTGCCGGGAGCTGCAGCTGCTGCGGGTTTTCTTATGGCACGTTGCTCCCTACTCAACGAGCTGCCATGGGATTTCCCCAGGTCTGACTGAGCGCCTCCTGACCAAGCTTGAGTTCGCTGGCTAGACGCGGGTAAAGTGGTGAACTGTCTGACGCTCGGCTCTTGTCCCTGCAGCACGCGTCTGCATGAGCACTTAGAAATGCGGAGTGTAAAACGTCCATCACGAGCATGCTCAATCAGTGCACATTGTTGGCAAATTAAACACGCTTTTGATTTTACTCCGAAACACAAGTCTCAAATGGCATGGTCACTGTTTCCATCTGATTCAACCAGTCTTTAAGCAAAAATGTTTTGTACCTGCCAGTGCCACAAGCTCAGCATAGGGCCCAAAGGGGACACCGGGTCCTTTTCATCCTATGCCTCGCAACTGGCTCCCGCAGCTCTGCAGGCCAACACGTGCCCTCAGTGTCAGGTGAGCGGTAATGGAAACACTCGGTTGGCAGGCGGGCCGGCTGCCCACGTACTGCTGCGGGCTCTGCCGCGTCCCCGTGTCGGTGCCGACACATTCCTTGGGTGCACACAGAAATGGCTTGTTTCAGTAGGCCATAGCAGTTTTCCGACTGTCAAATCTGACTTGCCTGCACCCCCCCCAGCTCCTCTGGGCAGTGCGTAGGCTGAGACATTTTCATTTCCCTGAGAGGGGAATGGAAAGGACTGAGAAAATGCGGTGGTTTTGGCTGTGATGTTTGTGCATGCTATTGCTTGGGGTGGGGGGAGGTAGCCCTCTGACCTGCCTAGTCGGTGACACTGGGGTTCTCTCTTGTAGGGTATTTCTCGTTCCTGCCGGATGACCTCTAGGAGATGAACTTCATTTCTTTCCACCAAACAACCACTCCATTTCGTAGGGCAAGAAACAGGATGTTACCAGCTGCATGGATGTCATTCCTGGCCTGTAGACTCCTCATAGTGAGCCTGGAACCTGTTTTCTAATGTGATTTGTGCGGGACAGAAGTTTTACCAGCGAAATTTCCTGTGCTGCCAGGGAGGATGCTACAGAGACTTCACTCAGGGGAATCCCACTTTGTCTCTGTGCCCAAGACTGGAATTGTCTCTGTGGGACTACAGCCCTGTCTCCATAGGGAAACCCTTTTGGGTGGATAACCATTGCTTCTACACCAAGCTGTGGTACCTGCAGGAACTCAAGCAAACTCTCCTTACCCACTTCTATTTAGAAAAAGATGCCAGAGCCACCCCAGCAACCACAATGTAGCTGCTCTTCACAGCAGTGCAACACATCTGGATTTCTACAAATCTCGGCTTCCTCCAGGTGTGCAAGAGTTGGAGTTTGCATTATTTGTGATCTGCCTTTGCTATTGCTCCACCTCTCCAAAGACAGATTACAGTGAAGCCAAGACATGAGGCTGGGCTACAGTCAGACCTTGCACCAGAAAAAGCATGTGACCTCCCAATCCTCTTAATTGATATTTAGAAGGAAACACTTTTCCCCAGATCACATCACTCAAATGTTGTAAACTGCTGTGCTGGGCAGGAGCAAGAAGAATATTGCTTAAAAGTAGCTTCTTCCCCATCCCTCCTGCACCTGCTGCGACAGTCACTGCATAACTCAAGATCCACATTTCATTGGCCAGGTTTTACAGTATGGGACCATTTGTTTGAGCCAAACAAGACAGCAATACTCATACCAATGCAATGTTATGCTGGGTTGGACCTGGGTGCCTTTTGGCCAGAGCTCTGTGTTCTCCCACCCTCCAAGAGTCACCAGCTCTGCCTCCCAGCTTCAGCTCCCGAACACTGCATTTAACATCCTACCCTCAGGGAGGCTACAAAACCCCGCTTACCACCTCTCCCGCAGAGGTTTTTTTTCCTTCGAAAAGGTGAGTGAAATGCACAGCGGAGCTGAATCCTGTGCTCAGCGGATCCATAATGCTCAGGCTGCTCTGGGGCAAACCTGCACCCCTCCTTACAACCCCTCTCCCATGGCTCTCTGTGGTCTATGCCTTCAGTGGGGCAGGGAAGAGGAAGAGGATCCACTGCACTGGTTGAGGGTAGGAGCACAAAGTCCATCAAAGCCCAGTCAAGACAAACTTCCTCCAGGACTGTGCTAATGGTGGGGCCTGTGCAAAGCTGCCAGCTCAACAAGGAGCAAGCATCTCCTGCAAAGCCCTGTTACCTGCAGGTGTGCAGTCTGGTTCTGCTTGTTTTTGGGAAAGTGATAGATGGGGATTCATAGGTTGGCCTATGGGAACAGGAGAGCTACCCCTTCTCCCCATCCACGTATCCCCCATCCCTGTCCCAACACTTCTTTTTTGCCTGTCAGGCATAGCTGCTGCCCCTGTAGAAGGTCACTTGAGGGTCCTGCAGCCTCAGGGTATCAAGACACAGTGGGGAAGTAACAATAGGACAAAACCCATCCCTTTTGGATCCACCTAATTGCCATGCATTGTCCTAGGAGCCATAGAGTAGCTTGGTCTGGTGGCAGCCAGATATGGTTTAGGCTTCCTCTGAGCCCACAGCCTGGCACGTCCGGGACTGTTGCCTCTCACCCAGCACAGGAACTTTCCTGATGAGTTTCTCCTTAGCGCCATAGTGGGGAAGGCACGCTTGTCTTCTTGCCCCTGTTCAGCCTGGCCCAATAAGGATGGCAGGGCTTACTTTCAAAAGGGGTCTGAGCCTCAAGTCATCGTGGCCGGGGGGGGGGGGGGGGGG